TAGAGGGCACCACAGAAGTATACCTTCTCATCCCCTGACACCTTTGTAATTTTCTTTTTCATCAAATTTGATGCAAGCAGTTGTTTTAATGCAGGCTCCAAACAGAAATGGCACAGATCTTTTTTTTTCATAATTTCTCTTTTAAAGTGTTTTAACAATTACATCAACCATTTAAAAACACTGTGCCCAAAGCTGGAGTAAAGGGGCTTTCTTGTCACCAAAAAGGTCCTCAATCAGAGGCAAAATTGTTTTTATTATGTGTTTTGAAAGTGGTTGTTACAGCATTTGTTAGTACGTCCTTAGAAAGCATTTTTGTCTAGACAGTTTTGCAGTGTATCAAGCTTCGATTTTTATCACTTCAAAAAAAGCACCATTGTTAGGATTCATCGGTACTTTAGGAAAGCTGATAAGTAAGCATTGAGGGGCTTCAGAAGTTTTCTAGAAGTTTTTTTGCTGGTTCTGCTGTTTGGCTTTAGTCCTCAGGTCCTGCGTTTGCTCCAGGTCCGTAAGCTGCGTGCTTGGTTATTTTCACGTCCCAGCTGTCATTCAATGCTACAGCTGTCACAAAACACAACTTGCAAAGTGGCATCTGTGTAAAGGATGCTGCTGTAGTTTAAAGCTCTTCGGTGCATTTTGAGCCGATTTTATGATGCGAGTCATTGCCCCTAGTGATGGGGCTCAAAAGGCTATCTTCCCTCTGAGTACCAGTGTACAGTTTATTGCGCTTTTCTACGTGGTTCCAGCACTTTGTTGCCACTGCTGTTGTAAATCATTATTTATTACTCTAAGTGTCCTTGCTGTTTATTCAGTTCTTTGGAAAAATGTACTTGAGGAAAAATTTCTCGCTTGCTGACATTCATATATCACTGCTATAGATCTGGCAGTTTCCCGGTGAGTTAAATCTTTACAATCCTAGGAAGCCAAGTGCTGTCCTTCTACACTAATTTAAGCTTCCCCGCTAAGCCCCGTCAGTTCTTTGTGAGACTGGCAGCCTGTGTGGCTCACAAAGCCACGGGGCCCTCCCGCTTACAGTAAAGACCCAATGGGATCTTCCAGGCTGCAGCACTGCAGCCCTCCAGGCGTTCCACGAGCTGGGGTTAAAAGACTAATTCTGGGCTCCAGACTGCTCGATAGATAAATTGGACCATGTCCGTAAGCTCCCTTGGATGCTCTTAATGCCATGTTAATTTTTGTGAAGGCAAGTATCCCACCGTTTGTTTGCTTTAGTGCGTGTTCACAGAAAATTATGTTTATGAACCTATATTTACTAGGGCTGCAAGGTGGCAGTCAAATGCAGGCTTTCTCCAACATGCTTCTGCATGCTCTTGAAGCAGTCTCCTCCACTCCGTCGGGCTAATGTTCACCGTGGATCCGAGATGCGTGCGTATGTGCTCGGCGATTACTGGAGGGGACTCCCTAGAAAACGAGAGTTTTGAGAAATCAATTACACAAAGGAATGGAGTCAGGGCCAGATGGCAGGGATGCTTCATCCCAACCTGGGAGGTACTTACGGGACGGCCGCACACTCGTTCCCACAGGGCTGGGTAATCAGATAAATCAATTAGCAGATGTCAGTGCGGTTAACAGAGCAACACTAGCGTAGGTGTGTTACTGTGATTACAGCAGAGGGGGCTGCTTTTCTTTCCCCCAGTGGATAAACAGCAACTGGATCGGCTTTCCTAGACCCAGCAGGGTAGGAGAGGACTCTGCTTTTCCGGAGAGCCTGCTTTCTGGGTGTTGCCACCAGGTTCAGATGTCTGTCTTTGCCGACCTGGAGGTGCTTAGGGAGAGGGTACCTTTGTGAACTAGGATGTGGACTAGTCCACACTCTGGGCTGTGAGCAAATCCCATCAGTGTGGTGGCATTTTCTTAGAAAGAACTTTGTCAGTGATGTCTCCTGGGGGGACCTTGGACCAAGCTGTAACCCTGCCTCTGGCCCCATCTCCTTTTGCTCCTGATGGGAGCCCCTAAATGGGCCCAGTGCCTAGTCTATCCCTTGCCATGCGGGGGGCGATCCCAGCACCCCCTTACCAGCACTCAGCTATGCTCACCTGGCTCAAACCCTGCAGGATAATGCCCTGCGTGGGGTGGCCTTGCTCGCTTTTACTTGGAGCTTGGAAAGATAGAGAACCCTTCCCATGTTTTCCTTCTGCTTTGTTTCTTAATGTCCTCTACCAGGATGGGGAGAGAAGTGCTAGGAGAGGCCTTCAGCCATAAATTCTGCTATGCTTAGGAGTTGTATTCTTAGCCTGTGTTGATACCTGCATGTGTACCTGTGTTCTGAAAACACCTTGAAATCCTCTCCCAGGAAGGCATTTGTAATACAAAAGCAATTGGAGGAAAGGGAGGTAGAAATATCAACCTAGGCAGAGCTATAAAGGGAAGAAAAACCAGCAGAAATCCCACCTCAGTGTTTTGTTGGATGAATGGGAACTGAACCTGAGTGCAGACTTTAACCTGCTGTCGTTCTAAGGACTCTGACCTGTATCGTCGGTTTTATTCGATCGTTTTTCCTGGTGGGTTAATTTTTTAACAGCTCTCTGAGCGCAAGGTTGGTGGACTGAGAGTCGCAACCACAGCGGTGAAACCTGTGCTGTTCCTCAGAGCACTTTTTTCACTCTATGGGCTTTTTATTCCTACGGTAGACATCTCGCAGACCCTGACAAACTTGACTTCACAGCACCTGAGGTTTCCAGCTGTCCACTGAGAGGCCCAGCAAACAGGCCCATCTCTGTTCCTCTCTTGTGTACGTGACAAGGAGAAGCAAGGCACAGCGTACGGGACTTGACGTCACCAGGATGCAGCAGACTGAAGAACTGAACCTAGCTGCGCTTTGTCTCAGTCTGACGCTGCACTCTGGAGACTCCGTGCATAGAGAGTTGGACTTGATGATCCTTAGGGGTCCAGTCCAGCTTGAGATATTCTATGATTCTACTCTGTGATTGTAATTCTTACTAGAGGATGGTTTGTGCCCTCCAGAACATGAAGACTACAGTCTGCTTTTGCAGCTGGTTGAATACTATGCCAGGACCTTCTTGTGCCGTGCTCTGGGGAGTAGAAGGAAGCCCTGCCGAGGTGCTCCACGGTGTGGGTTTCACAGAAAAAATTGGCACCAGCAAAACACCACTGTGATCACAAAGCCAACCCTCAGATGTTAGGAAATGTTGAGCATTTAACACTGTCAGTCTTGCCTGAGCTTTATCCGTGGCTCTGCATCTTTAGCTTGTCCAGCCTGCTCTCCTGTCCTTGGTCTCCCTTTTACAGCTGCTTTTTAAATTTCTTCTTTCTCTGACATTTGCCTGCCGAGTCAGTCACAGCCCCGCCGCCTGGCTCCTGCCTCTAGGCACTTTACTGATGAATCCCATCTTTTGCCCTGCTCCACCTGCCCTTCCACGGCAGGCTCTCTGATCCTCTCTGCTTTCGCATGAGTGCATCTCTTTTGCCCTCTGCTTTTCAATCTGGCAGCTTGCTCTTACTTGGTGCCGTTGAGAACACAGGCTGTCTGCCACCAGCTCCGGGATCCAGCGATCCCAGAGCTGCAACAGAAAGGAAAATAAACTGGAGATTTAGCTGCTAAAATGTAAGTTGTTTCTAGTCAGCAAAGCAAACCGTGCCTCTGCGTGTGTTCCTTTGCACTTCCCTTCCTCCTTCATAACCGTATTGTTTCCCCAATTTTAGAAATGGTTTCACAGAGTGTTTCTGACTAAATTGCTTCAAACTCTGGGAGAAATTTTCTAAGTGAGACCGGCACCAAATTAGTGGGGAAAAAAAACCCAAAGTATTTATTTCTTTGCTGGTTCATTCTTGAAAGCTGCTCAACTGTTTTGGCAGATGCTGAGCCTGATACCTGGGATGGAAATAGTGGAGTTTTTTCTGCATCGCCTTTGGCAATGTCCTAAGCACCTGAAAGACTTGCAGTGGGAAAGTTATGGCAAGCCAGGCAGCTGGTGAACAGGACAGCCGACCTTGGAGAGAAGCAGTCCCAGCAGCTGCTGGCAGAACTCTGCTACTAGGGACTTCTCCCCAGATTACTGTAGTATCTGGAAAGGAATTGGTGTTGGTACCCTGCACATCATGTGCAGGTTGCTCTACAGCGTGTCCAGGGACTGTGCCTGGCTGCTGCCAGCTCATCTCCTCAGCCCTGAGCCGGGACTGCTGGTGGGTGCCTCTGGCCCCTGCCCCGAAGGATGCTCAGCAGCACCCAGGCAATGCTGGTGCCAGGAGCGCTGCCTGAGGGTGGGGGCACAAGGTGGGCAGCCTGGGGAGGCCAAGGGACGGTGTTGGTGTGGGAGGTGGGAAGGAGGGGTTACCGAGTTTGGAAAGGCTCCTGAGAGCTGGTCCGATTGCAGGAGACTCTTCATTGCATTGGGCTCCTTCAAAGAGTGTTGTTGCTCCTCTACCTCAGCCAAACTACAGTAGAATGCCATGTTACATGGCAGGAGCAGGGCTAGCATGAGAGGAGGGGAGAGAGCAACGTGGTCCCATGCTCCAGGGTAAAAAGACAGCCCCCATGGTCTGGTGAAGGCACGCAGCATCCTCTGTGAGTTCAGAGCGCGCACAGCCCTGCCATTCAATCCTGGCTAACAGTGTGCGACAGCCTGAACCTCCCAGGTGCAAAGGGCTTCAGCGCAGCCTGGCTAGTCACTTCCCTGCTTGGGGTTTCACAGCTCCATTGAAGAGTCCGTCCTTTCTCCCTGGCACCTCGGAGATGTTCACCTCGCACAGTTTGTCACCGAGACCCTGCAGTAATTTCACACACTCCTCTAATAAAGTCCTCCGAGGCTGTCATGTATTTTCATGTATTTCCCCTATTATTTCTCCCTGCTTGAGCCTTTCAGATAATTGATGATACTTTAGTTAATCATTTTCCCCCTCCTTTGTTCGCCAGGTACCTCAGCCTTGAAGGGATCCTTTTCATTTAGAATCCGTGTCTCCTCTTAAGTAATTGATCACCGTGCACCCAGGGACACCCAATTCACAGCCGAGTGGAATCAGCCTTCATGAATAATCAAAATGCCGTGGCCACGCTGCTGCAGGAGTGCAAGCAAGCTCTGGATGCACTCCTGGCGTCAAAGGCTGACGCAGGCGAGGAAGAGGAGCGGGAATACCAGCGGTGCCAAGGTGAAGTCCCCAGGAGAGGTGGCAGGACCACAGCAGCAGCCGATGGTCCACAGCCCTGCCCTATTTTTCTTCTCCTGGCAGATGATTGTCAAGAGATGCTCGGATTTCGAGGCCATGAATAGGATGCGGGCTACAGGCAGGCAGGGAAAGAAGCCCACTTTGTTGGAGTGAATTGCTGTCAGTTCTAATTTTAGGCTTCAGTAAACATGAGGCTGTAAGGAACAGTTTAGTTTGGGAAGAACAATGCCCAAAAGTTTGCTGATGCACATAAATTTCAGTTATTAAAAAAAAAAAAAAAGAAAAAAAAAGGATGCAACTTCTGAATAAGGGCACATATTTCCTCTCCTTTCATAGGAACTGGGGGAGGGCCTTTTCTGTTTGTCAGCCTCTCCTAATATATTAAAGAGCTCATTGCCCGAATCTTTATCTTGTAAAATGTGTGTGACCTCTATAAGTGGTGTCCAAAGGAAAAAAACTTGCAATATCCCTCCTGAAAGGAGAATCCATCCCAGCTAATGGCTGGAACAAATAACCGGGAAAGGAAGCAGTATTTAGCGAAAGCTGTAATAGAAGAGTTCTTCATTTGTTTTAACGCTGGCATTACGTGCTAGAAACCAGTGTTTATTTTGGTATTGCCATGGTCCTTTGAGAGTGGCTTGTAAAAAAATAAAAGAAGAGAAAAAGAAATTATTTCTTAATTGCAGTGGAAATCCAGTTCATGTAAATCACGAAAGGATGTAAAACACTCGGTTCAGTTTTCTCTTGGCTCAGACTTTCAGAGGGCTACGTAACTTAATTGCCACAGCATTTTTATTCATAACATAAAAGCCACGTTTGAATTGCTGAACCTGTTTGATTTACACCTTTTTCGGTACAGGGTAAGGTGGTTACGTACTCCTTTCTGCAACACAGAAAAGTAACTTCAGCAAGTACGGAAGAATATAGTAAAGGATGAAGGTGAAATTTCTGGGGGGAAGAACAAAGGCATTAGCAAAAAACCCACAAAGAGTCCATTTATGTGCAGGTTTTCCTTTGCGTGACACGTCTGCAGTACTGTCCGTTTTTCAGTTTAGTGCTAATAATGTTTAGTTTTGCTTTGCATGAATGACTCGTCCATAGCGTTAATTTGATCTTTAAAATCCTTTGTTTGGCTCGGAGGGCAGAGCCGTTGAGAGTATGTTTTTCTGACCATCCTTGTTCTTGCTGGGAGGTCAGCTGCCTTTTTCTGAAGCACCTAAGTCTGTTTGCGGTGGAGGGTGGTGTATAGGTTTCTGTTATGGATACTGGAAGATTTTTCTCTTCTTTTTTTGTTTTCAACAAAGGCTACTTTGTTTCCTCATCACAAATTCTTTTAAGTTTTGCTATGGCTTCTTAGAATAGGCTCTTGAACTCTAATCAGGTAGTGCTTTTTTTCCCTCGTCCTCCTCCCTCCTTTTCTCCTATTAAATAACACAAAGTATGAGAAATAATCAGTTTAGTTCCAGATAAGGTAAATCAGTGCCCTTATAATCACTCGATTAGATATGGTCCTTCAGGTAAACTGCTTCAGGAAATGGGCGATCAGAGCCTGAAGTGATGCGCGGCCTTTTCCGAGGAGCGTGTTCCCATCAGCTGAAAGAAAAACACCCAGCAGCGGGGCAGTGACAGCGACATTAATAACTGCTGGCAACATTAATAACTGCTGGGGCTCTCTGCCGGTCTGGGGAAGGCAGGGCCTCGCAGATCGGGGGCTCTCAGCTTCAGGGTCCCTCCCAGAGCAGAGGTGGAAGGGGTTTCTTCGCCCCCCTCTCCTCTCGGGACTGCCTTTGTTTGCCCCAGCTTTCTCAGGGTGCAGGAGGAACTGAAAGCTAAAGACATGTATTGGGGGGGCCAGAGAAGGGAGAGGAGGAGTACATCCTTTTCTTGCTTTAGTTGAGGGGGTAGAATGGGTGTTAGGTGGGTCTGGATTGCTTTTTTATTTCTTTTTAGGGTAGAAATCCTTCCAATCAACTTTTGTGCCAGTTCAACCTTTGTAAATTAATGAATTTATATTGCCTGTGGTGAGAACAGCTATCTCTTACAAGAGTAGTTGTTCTTTAGTGCATCAAGTAGGAGGGGGTTTGATCAAGGATAATATGGAAAACAGGAACAAGAGGATAGCAGTGATACCTTTATGCTTTTGAGAGAATACCAGTGTCCATGTTATCCCACTGATTATTTTCATAGTTGCCGACACTGTTATTTTAAGTGAAGTAGTTAGAGAAGGAGACAGGCTGTGTAATCATCCTATTTCTCTCTAGATTCTTCCCCAAACTGTCAGTCCTATGGGATCAGATGGGGAAACGTGCTTGCTGTGACTGCCTTTCAGCCCCCCGCCCATCTTCCTTTGGAAAAGATTTTGGGAAGCTCAGTCTTCTCCCTTCTACACAGCGGGGGAAACCCTCTGTCCATCAGTTTGCATTCCTTGTGATGAGATGGGTATCCCTGCTCCTGCACTGATTTTGCAGTGAGAGGTGCGAAGGTGGGAGCACAACTTCCTCTGCCTTCCAGCTCTGCTGCTTGGTCACCTCCGCCCAGCGCGGAGGGCTGACCCCTCTGGACACTGATTCAGAAGGGCAGGGAAACGTGGCTGCATGTGAAGCTAATGGGAAGCATGTCCAGAGCTGTGGCAACAAGTGAGAAAATGTGGGTTGGAAAAAAGTGGTATTTTTTAAAGGTGACTTTTTGGGAAAAGGGCCCTAAATATCCAACTTCCTACTTTTTTGTGGGAAAAATGTGCCAGTGAACTCACTGTCATATGAGCATGAAACAGACCTTTTGTGTAGTGCATTTTCTACAGTCATACATAAAGGATTGATTAAAAAATACGTAGTAATACATTTATTGCATTGCATTGTTAAAGCAATGATGGTCTCTGAGAGTTTTTTTCTGGGGATTAATGGCCAGAAGGGGCTAGATCTGCAGCTGATGATCACCATTAACCCCATCTGGTCAATAATCCTTGTTAATCCACCTTTATTGGCCAGAGAGTCTGCCTGGCGGAGTGCTTAGCACAGCACACTCAGGCTATAGCTTCACCCCTGTTTCAAGGAAAGTTAAAATGTGGGCTGCAGCTTAAAGGGACAAATCCAAGCCTGTGATTCTAGCTGTGTGCTCCTGCTAGCAGTTGCATCCTTACTTGGGTCAGGCTGGAGATCCAACCACAGCCAATGGTTATATGGGAAGCAAAGGGCCAGCCCGGGAAGGGAGCAGGGCATGGGCCAAGCTGTGCTTTTGCCTTGCGAGCTCTGGCACATCACTGGAGGATCAGGAGACAGGCATGGGAACTTTACCCTCATCCAAAAAAAACCCTAAAACTCCTTTGTGCTTGGCCTTTCCACTTGGGAAGGAAAGCTGTGCTTTGGGTAGGGTTTGGAAACCCTGGGGTGAAAGGGGTGAGGACTGCAGCTTCCGTGAGGCCCTGTGCCTGGGTAAGAGCCTGGACCAAGGGCACCTTCTCCTCTTAACTTCTTTTTAACTGCAGGAGAAATGCAGAAGCTCAGGCTGGCTCCTCAGCTAGCGTGAATTACTTGGCTAAGCCGGCTCCAAAGATGCATCAGCTTCCAACAGGGAACCTCATAGCAAGGTTTCAGCTGGATTCTGCCACGCATCCGTGGGCACTGCCATGTTAATAGTGGTTCCCAGGCACATGGCTTAACCCATTTTTTCCTGCTATAGCAGTGAGGTCTCTTGTGCTGAGGGAAAGTGTGTTGTGTAGTCTAATGCTCATTGCTTTGAGAGCAGGCTGAGTAACTCAGGCCAACAGCTTTTTTTTTTACTGAATTATCAGTCAAATAATTATTCTCAAGAGCATATGCTTGTTCTTCATTATATCCCTTTAAATCTTTGTCTAATTGCTTTACATGGCCCGGGTTTGTCTCCCAGTTTTGGATGTGGCTTTTCAGGCTGTCTCTGCCACTGTCACAAGCAAGCTGTGAGCAAGGGGGGCAGGTCGTCTGTGCTGTTGGCCCCGTTTGCTCTACCAGGAGTCCTCCCCTCACGCAGGGGAACAGGATTCCTCCTGTTTCTCTTGGGTAGCTCTTCATGTCCAGCCAGCCGGTGTGACTCCCTGCTAAAAGCCTTTTTAATGCCTGATGGCTCCCATTTACCTGGAGGGCAGAGCAGCCAAGGGTAACGCTGAGAGGCAGCTCACCTTCCCTCCCGATGAGACTGGTGGCAAGAGCTAAGAGCTGGTAGCAACTGGGAGGAGTTGGGAGAGGGAGGGGAGGCATGCTTTTTGCAGGGTAGGTGCTCTGTCCTAAGTGTTGCGGCTGAACCTGCGGCAATATCTTTACCTGCTCTTTGACCTTTTCAGCTTTGCTTCCTGAGGACTTGAGGACCCTTCTGGAGGAGGCAAAGGAAATGAAGTGGCCCTTTGTGCCAGAGAAGTGGCAATACAAACAAGACCTCGGCCCCGAAGACAAAACAAACCTGCAAGATATGATCAGCACGAGGCTCCCTGATTTGCTGGTATGAAGTTCAACACACCTGTTGCGTACAGTGTCCTGCTGGGGTGCATGTGGGTATGCAGAGCCCTGGTAGGTAGCGTCATCTCTGGGTTCAGGGGCTCATTTTTCTGCGCGGTGGCAGCAACAGGCGAGGAACTGCTCAGCGAGCAGAGATGAGGGAGTCTGTGATGGGATGGGGCTGCTCACAGAGGCCAGAGGGCCAAAGGAGAGATGTGACTTTTATTTGTTTCAGTCCTCAGACAAGTGAGGGACCCAAAAGCTACATACAGTTTCAGATTTTTTTTTCCTTGAAGTTGTTATGAAGCAACATGTGTGAATCGGTTTCCTCTTCCTTGTGAGACAGCTCATCTCCATGTCAGCACTGCATCTTCCAAGGGAAAGAAAGTCCTGTGCTCTGCTGCCGGTGCAACCAAGCCAAGGTTGAGGAGCTCTGCCTCAGGGCTAGGCTTCTGGTCTGTTGGCTACGTAACTCGAGGAAGATGGGTGTGCAACACCATGCAAGCCTGTTTGGGTTTGTGATCTCGATGGTCTATGCAGTTTTATGTGCTCTCCCAGTGCAGGGAAGATAAAATGGGTTCAAGTGAGTGTGTCCAGGCATTTGGTTGCTGCTGTGCAAGGAAGGAAGTGCCTAGATAGTAATGACAAAGACATTGCAGAGCGGAGGGCACTGGCTCTGCCTTGTCTAGAAGGAATCCCAGAGGTATACAGGGATTGTCCATACATAGAACGTTTTGCAGAACAACCACCTTGCTTGTTGGAACGTGCGGCAATGACTTTGACTGCATTTATGCTGTTTCTGCTCATTTTCATGGTCAGCCTATGCTAGTTCAGGCACTTGCTTTGTCCATTCCTCTGCTTTCACAGGGCAGTTCTGTTTCTCTTTCCACTAAGGTGATGTTTACTTCTTCCCTGAAGAACTGGTATTATAATTAAACTGAGATCACGTGTGTTGACCTAAAGTTTAAAAACAACCCATGAATTTGGAAAGAATGCTGCGCCTTGTTTAATTCAGCTAGGAGGCAACAAGGATTACTCACTTTAGTAGGGCTTGCACAGTTCGTCACCTGCTTATCTTTTTCCAAGAAAATTACATTTTTGCTTTTCTGATTTTCTCAGAGATATGTCAGGCATGACTTGTGGCAAAGAGAGGACTCCCTTTTTAATGGTAAACATTAATATCTAGGCTAATGAGTATCCCTTTGGCAGGACAGACATAAAGTAATGATGAGGTTTTTTGTGGATTTGGGGTTTTTTTTGCTTACTGAGGTGCGTGTCTGAAGCCAACGCAGTCCCATTCCTCATGGGAAGGGGCAGTCCGGCCTGAAAATCTGGGGTTCCAGGCAGGGAGGTTTGGCCCTGCTGAAATCCCAGCTGCAAACCTGCTGTTATCTCCAAGGTGGCCAGTAGATTTCCCCTGCTTCTGAGAGACCCCTGCCCGAGGAAGGCCAGCAAGTTTTGTTTGACGATGATTATTTTGAATAGCACTGGGCGAGGAGAAGCTCAGCAAAGCCAGTGACAGGGCTGGGGGGTGTCAACCCCAGCATCCCCTCACCAGCATCCCACATTGCAGGGATCCTGTCTTTGCTTGGGGAGGGGCGGGTGGGGAGTGGCTGCTTCTTGGGTATTTATTTTCTTTTTCTCTTTGGTGTGTGTGGCCTTAGACAGAAATTTATGGCAGAGGTTGACCTCCTTTACAATCCCCGTGCAGCTCTCTAACTTTGGAGCGTTTGTCTGCTCTCTCCCAGGATAAACACCTGCAGTAAACTCCCTGAGAGACCTGGCTAGATGGGAGATTAATGTGGCTGTAATAGTGGAGCAGTGTTTGCAGCATTATGCCCTCTCCCCAGGTAGATAGATCTTTTCTGAGATGATACCAATTATTTATTGCTGAAACATCTGTTGATAACTGCAGCTGCCCTTGTTCAACAAAGCATATCATGGGGTCATAGACTATAGGGACCTAAAATCCTACCGCATGCTAGTTTTAGACTATTCATCGACACCCCCTGAAGTCCATTGGTTACCGTTGTCTTCAATGGTTCATCCTACGGTTGAAAATACTTTGTAAACGTTGTGCTGCCTTTCCCCATGTGCTTTGAAGTATTATTTCATCTTCATCGGTAATTTATATTCCAGTGCCATTGTACCATGGGAAAAAGGGAAAACCTTTTTTGTTTTCCATTTAATTGTAGATAGACTGACATTTTGACCTGTATTATTAGTATTAGTCAGGAAAAGAGATTTTTTTTTCTCCTTCATCCATTCCTCCCCCTCTTTTTTTTTCTTAAATAAAATTTCAATGCAGAGCAAAGGCTGCTTCAGTTCTTTGAATAAAAAGCTGGGGGGGAAATGAGGCTGAAGAGAAGTGATTACAGTGTGATGAGGAAAGATAAAAGTCTGAGCAACTTTTTTTTTTTTTTTTTTGCATGAGGGACAGAAGGATAATTTAATTCCCTGGAGGAAAAAAAGATAAGTCTTTGTGAATTTATTGTTCAGAAAAACCTTTAAAATTTTTCACCTCTGTTTATTTTAATTTGCCATGCTTAGAATAAGCTCATAAACCGTAATTCATTACGTTTAGAAAGTGCTTTGAGATCCGTGAATGAAAGGCACTTCATTACCATAACACACTGGTGGTGTTTGGAGGAGGCAGTGCTGGCTACCAGGGCTCACCATGAGGATGTTTTACTCTGCGAGTAGGCTGAAAAGCTCCATGAGACCAGCACAGTGACTAAGCGGATTAAGTCTTTGGCTTCAAGGGTTTGCCTTAGTGTTGCACTTTAAAACGTGGGATGCCCATTGCTGGCGGCTGCGTGCCAGTTTGACACATCAAGAAGGCAAAGCTACCTGCACCTGCAGCCTTTTAAAGTGCTCTTCGCCTTTGCTGTGGGATGCTCATTGCTTCTGCACGCTGGCTGAAGCAGTAGGAAGGCATGGCAAAACCAGTTTGGGGGGGGGCAGGAGGTAGCAGCAAACCAGGCTTTCCTTGGCCCTCTCTCGCTGCAGCCTCCGCTCAACGGGAGCCATGCTGTAGCTGGAGCAGGGCTAGGGGCAGATTTGGGAAATGTACGCAAATTTTTCTTTCTCCCCCCTGCCCCTTCTCCACTAACTGAAATTACTGAACCTCCCTAGGGATTTTAAGGCCACGGATTTTCTGTAATCCTTGAGGCAAACCAGCACTTCTGGTTTTATAAAATCTTCGTATCTTACAGAAGGTGCTGCTTTTTTTTTTTTTTTAGGCTTTTTTTCTTTTTGCTTTTCGCCTTCCAGGGATTCACCAACAAATGCAAAGGCCACCCCTGTTCAAAAAGCTCAACCAACTGTTTTCCACATTTTCCTAGCAGGTTTTAAGAGAGCCCCACCCCACGGCTGCCATCAGCTAGCCAAACCCATCCTGCAGCCCCCATCTCAGCCTGAATGCCCCTTTGGTGGGAATCTGCACTAAAGCTTGAAGGGCCATAACCAACATCCGTATCCAAAGCCAAAACTGGGGAGCACTGGGATTTTTGTTTATAACAAATCAAAGCCAAGTCAGAATTGTAACAGACAAGTATAAATAAGGTGGGTTTACTTTTTCTTCCTAAATACTCCATGCGTTGTGGGGTTCGGACTGGGGCTGCAGATCCAAAAGGGAGGTTGTCAGGGGTCACCCTTCCTGCACGTCTCCCTTATCCCAAGGGATGGAAATAGCCTTATGCTCGGTGGCCAGCCAATAGAGGGCAACATGCCCATGTACACGTAGGCTTTGATCCCACAAACCCTGGTGTGGGTTTCATTGAGGGACAACTCTATGCACACCAGTAGTTATCTCCTGGGATGATTCATGCCACCTTAATAAGTTAATTAATTTTTTGCAAGATCGGGGCCCATTTGCAAACACATGTAATGATGTGGAGCTTCAGTTAATTTTTATCATGCATATCAATAATTCCTGCATCCGGGCTCAGGCATTCAGCCATGGTCCAGGGTCTGTTGGGATAGGTGCAGTGCAGATACAAAAGGAGAAGCGCCTCAAGACTAGGGCTCCTGCAGGTCCCTCTGCACCCACTGCAGGGAGCTGTGCAGGCTGACCCCGTGCTCCCTGCCGTTGATGGGGGAGCACGGATCCTGGCCCTGCAGGCGCAAATCTCTTCGGTGTCAATAGGAATATTGAAAAGAGTAGAAAATAAGGCCCTGCAGCCCTTACATGGGCCTTGGCTAATTACGTGCTGATGGATTGCCGTTAGGGAAACCATTCTGAGGGACGTACCCGAACTACCCTTAGGTGTGTGTGCGGCACTTAAGACCTGGGAGCCTTCGAAAAATAGCTAAAGAGGGGACTGAGGATTTAGTTTTCTCCTCCTTCTAACTGTTGGTGTGGTAACAGGAGAATTAAGCCCTAAATTGTAGCCCTGGGATCTTGGTTGTTCAGGCTGACCTTTTGCTACCTGCCTCATAAGAGCTCTTCTTGGGTGATCCCAGCGAAACGGAGGGTGTCGTAAGGGAGAGCTGTGGCTGCTGACTGAATTCAGCCTGAGAGGGAATCCGTGGCACAACAGCCTCCCTTACGCTGTGAGATCTCTGAGCCCTTGTAAATGGGAAGTGTCAGAGATCACGTGCAGGCAGGAGAGCTTCAGCTGTCCAAGGTGACCACACTGATGCTGCCAGCGTGTAGTGCTGCACAGCACTCTGTCTTCTGCTGCCTTTGTGGGAAAATTACAGCAGAATTTATGTGGAGCATCAAATAAAAACGTCGGATCCTGGGTACCTGTAGGGCTGTCAGTTCACTTTGTTCATGGGTAGGATTACTTCTTCTCAGGTGCAGCTTCATGGAGTGTTTACTCCCTGGGAAAGACTTGAAATGTTGCATTATTGAGATTGCTATGCTGTGTTTTCCTTCCAAATTAAACTGCTCAAATGGATTGATGTTTTGAGGACACAGAGTTACCTAAGAGACCCTTGTATTTTTAGGTGATTATAATGGTCTCGATGCTGCCCTTCTTGGCAGAGTTCTATCACTGG